AAAAATAAAAAATGCCTTGACAGAGATAGTGTTTTCCTTTTTTGGCCTTCCTCCTCCTTGCCCAGAGGCCACCATCTTGGAAGAAGATAGCAGCCCCCACCTGAGATGCCTGTGCCCTTGATCTTAGCTTCCCCAGCCTTGAGAACTGGCAGAAGTCAATTTCTGTTTTCTATAAATTACCCAGTCTCAGGGACTCCACACAAAATAATCCACTTCTTGAGCTGGACCGGTCTTTATCTCACAGCTACCAGGAAACTCTCTGCTCAGGTTCAATCTCGTATGAAGATATTTATAGGCATGCGCTTCAGTTTCATGTTATTTGACTCTCCGTGAAAGGACTGTATTGAAAGCTGTGGTGTCTTCGGAAGGGAAATGGAAGTCACGTCACACGGTGAACCGGCCTTAGGCATGCACTTTAGGCCTGGAACCCTCACTGAGTGAACTTGTCAAGATAGCTGTGGGCACACTGCAAGCTGGGAGTGGTCAGAAATGCAAACGGGGAGCAACAGCCTGGACAGCTTGCAGATGGTAGGCTATGTTAATAACCCAAACCTGCCTGATGATCAAATGGAGGTGGAGGGGCTACCAAAGACCAAGGAAGCATGACAAGGATTGAGGGAATGAGGACAGATCAGTAAGTCTTCGGTACCAGTTCCTTTTAGGAAACAGAAGACTCGCCAACCAGATAGGTTGACCCGGGTCAAGATGGCAGAGCCCCAGCTGAAGTGTGGCTTTCCTGTGGCATCTCTGTGTCCCAGACTCTCTTTATCTGTCATATTTTTTTCTAATTAACTTTCCTTATGTTCAGGTCTTGCCTGCATTCATCTCTTGCCAGACATAAAGACCAAAGTCAACTCAACCGCCCTAAACATCTGATAAGATGTTTGGCTGGCAACTTAGGAATTAAGTAGTAGGATTTTTTTTTCTTTTTTTTTTTTGGGGGGGGGTACCAGTACTGGGCTTGAACCCAGGGCCTGGGCACTGTCCCTTCGCTTTTTTGCTCAAAACTGGTACTCTACCACTTGAGCCACAGCTCCACTGTGTCTCTTTACTAGTTAATTGGAGATGAGTCTCACAGACTTTCCAGGCTTTAGACCAAGATCCTTGTCAGCCTCCTGAGTCTGTTAAGCCCGAGCCAAGTGTGGCTTTTCCAGATGTGCATTCACTGAATGGCAGCCCCAAGACTGAGAAGACAGCATGTACATCACGATAAACCCACTCTGGCCCACCGGCCACATGACCAGCTCCCCGCCCAGCTCCCCAGCTCTGCCTCCTTCCCTCTCCCTGAACTCAGCCATTCAAGTCTTCCACAGAGTCCTGGGATTTCCTCAGCCTCTGGTTTGGTTGTGTGCTATCAGAAACCCCTGGCTTTCTCTCCCTCTG